TGTCTTTACTCAGGTTGAAAGTAGGGGAAAGCATGTTATTGGACCTAGGTCTGGGCTGCTTACCTTTCAGAAACCAGTACAGTTGGTGGGAAGAAATCAGGTTTATTCAAGGGCTGGCCCTCAGATGATAGGCAGTTGTCTTCACAGCTCCATCTTGGGATTTATAAGGAGGGAAAGAAGTGAACTGAGATAAAAAGCAGGAAGACTACATGCTGGGTGAGGTCTCTGTATCCAGAGTATGGTAGGAACACTGCAGTTTACCTTGACTTCCTGGGATTCTTTCATGTGTTTTGTTTAAACAGACTTATTGCTAGACATAGTGATTCATTTCTACAGTCCAAACTACTGGGAAAAGGAGACAGAATTGTTAATTTGAAGCCAACCTTAGTAAAAACTGTAGGGAGACCCTGTCTTAAAAACAAACAAAGAAGGCTTTATATGTTTTGTGTTAGTTGATGCACAGGATTAAAGAACAAAGAGAAGTTAAATATTCTGATATTACCTGACAATTACCAGATGTTTTGTGTTCGTAAATCTAAAGAAAGATTATTAAGAATGAATGTAGAATTTTTATATGGGTTGAAACCACAATAGGAAAGGGACTAAGGTAGAAAGAGGAAAAGTAGAGGGGTCCACTGCACCTAGAGCAAACTGAAAGTTTGGGGAAGGAAAGCATAATTGTTTCCATTGCTCGTACATTGGCTTTCTACAGTAGGGGTGGGATAGTGTGAGCTGGGGAAAGCTATGAGATAGTAGGACAGTCCATAAGAAGTAATTGTTGCTTTTGAAGTGGTTGGTGGTGTAAGGAGGATGAGTGGGGCCTAAGGAGTTTTTGATGAGATTTAAGGTTTTAACATGCATTCTGGAATGTGAAGTAATCTTTAGTTTCTCTCTACTACCCTCTACCACTGTAATTAAAATTTAAGCTAGCTCAGAATGTCTTTTTTTCTTATCATATGTATTTCTTGCCCTTAGAAGAATTTGTAGTCTTGGAATAAAATCAGATATACTAAAAAGTAAATCTACTAGAAATAAACTTTGCCTTAAAAAAAATTGAAGGGTTTCCATCTTTTTCATGTTATTCATTCTGAATTATCTAAAAAACCAAATTATTAAGTGTGTGCTTAGATTGCTTAAGAAAAATTCAATAGTAATTTGTGTTAGAGGCTATTCTTATTATCTCATGGGAAAAGATGTTTTACTGTCTTTTCCTGCTTACTATAATGTTTTAAAGTGTTATGATTATGTTTTAGTATGTAACATTAGATGCTCTGAGTTTATAGCTTAGAACTGTTTAAATATTAATAGGTCTATGAGCAACTGTGAGGCTGTGGAATGTGTTGTAGTTAATTTTCTTTATTTTTCCTGTTATGATATACAGTGACAGTTAATGCACATATAGATACATAAAATTAAAAGCAAAATCAAACTTTTTAAAAATTAAAATCCATATTAGATTTTTGTAATTTTTTTTCAGTAAAGATGGCTGTGGCAAGTCTGATCTTTCTAATTCTTAGACACCAACAATACATTTTAATTCTGATACTAATTATCCAAGTTGTAGGGTAAGGGCTCTATCTCAGGGGCTGCCCCAGTTTGTGTGCCACTCATGTATCCCAGGTTGCTACAGGTACTTCTTCCTGACCAGGTGTTCCTAAGTTCACTCTTTAAGGAGAATAATTTTCAAGGACAACTCTCAGAAATCAGGGAAATGTTTTATTTACTCCTCTTGGCTTATTGTAAAGGTTATCACTCAGGGCAGTGAAATACAAGAGATCCCTAGGTGGAGGAGATACGTTCTTCCCAGCATATCAATGTGTCCATCAATTAGGAGGTCTGAATTTCTTAGAAGTTTTCATAATCCAGGCTCCAGAATCCCCCACCCCTGAGTTCTAAGGGCTGAGAGTTACATGTTTGGTCTTTTTGGTATTCAGCCCCATCCTGTGGCATTTTTTAAAAATTTATTTGTAACTGACACCTAAACATAAGAATCATTCATAATAATGGAGCACCTTGTGATCTTTTGATACATGTATACAACGTGTAGTGTTTAAATCAGGTTAATTATCTCCTCAAACACGATTCCTTTGTTTATGGTGAAAGCTCTCAAAATCCTTTCTTTTTAGCTTTTTGAAATGTATGATTCAGGATTCTTTTCTACAGTTGTCCTTCTGTGCGGTAGCACACCAAAACTTCTTGCTCCCACCCAAATGTGGTATGGTACACACGGATCACCCTTTCCCCATCTTCTCCTACCCCCACACTTCCATCCTCTGGTAAATACCTTACTACTCTCAACTTCTACGAGAACAACTTTTTTTAGATTTCACATATGAGTGAGATCATGAAGTACTTGTCTTCTATGCCTGGCTTGTTTTACTTAATGAGCTCTGATTCCATCCATAAATGAAAGATTTCATTTTTTGCATGACTGAATAGTATTCCATTGTGTATGTGTATCACAGTTTCTTTATCCATTCTCAGTTAATGGGCACTGAGATTGTTTCTATTTCTTGGCTATTGTGAATAATGCTGTAGTGAACATGGAATGCAGATATTTCTTTGATACACTGATTTCATTTCCTTTTGAATATATACCCAGTAGTGGTATTGCTGGATCATATGTTCTATGTTTAATCTTTGAGGAACTTCCATACTGTTTTCCATAATGGCTGTACTAATTTACATTCCCACCAACAGTGTATAAGCCTTCCCTGATTTCCATATCCTTGTCAGTGGTTAGTCTTTTTGATAGTAGCCATTTTTACTGGGGTGAGTTGATAACCTCATTCTGGTTGAAATGTGCATTTTGTTGATGATTAGTGATGGTGACATTTTTTCATGTACCTTTTGGCCATTTGCATGTGTTCTTTTGAGAAATGTCAATGCAGATCTATTTTTGTCCATTTTTAATTGTGTGTGTGTGTGTGTGTGTGTGTGTGTAAGTGTGTGTAAGTGTGTGTAAGCTATTGAGGTTTTGGAGTTTCTTGCAAATACTTAGTACCATTCTGTCGGTTGTCTTCTTTATTCTGTTGATTGTTTCTTTTGCTGTGCAGAAGCTTTTTAGTTTGATATAATGCCATTTGTCTATTTTTGCTTTAGTTTCCTGTGCTTTTGAGGGTTACTGTTTCAATTCTTTTGGGTAAAATGTAGGAGTGGAACTTTTGGGTCATACCATAATTTTATGTTTAATGAGGAATTAAACAGTGGTTGAATCATTTTACATTCCTACCAGCCATTTGCAAGGACTCTACGCTCCTTCATCTGCATCAGATGTTTTCCATTGTTTTTTTTTATTGCTGTGCTGGTGGATGTGAGCACTATTTCATTTCCCTAATGACTAAAGATGTTCAATGTCTTTTTAACGTGCTTCTACTGGTTCTTTTGTATCTTTGGAGAAATATCTGTTCAACCCGTTTGAACTTTTAAAATTGAGCTGTCTTTTCTTCTTGAATTAGAATTTCTATTTATATATTTTGGGTACTAGACTTACTGAATATATAGATTGCATGTATTTTCTCCCATTGTTTAGACTTCTTTTCACTTGACAATGTCCTTTTATGCCCCAAACTTTTGAATTTTATGAAGTGCAGTTTATGTGTATTTTTCTTTTGTTTCTTGAACTTTTGATGTCATATCTAAGAATGCGCTGCTCACTCCCAGGTCATGAAAATTCACTCCCATGTATCCTTCCGAGAGCTTTTTCTTTTTCTTTTTTTCTGTGCTGGGGCTTGAACTCAGGGCCTACACCTTGAGCCACTCCACCTTGCCTTTGTGTGTTTGTGTGTGTGTGTGTGTGTGTGTGTGTGTGTGTTGGGTATTTTCGAGATGGGGTCTCCCAAACTGTTTGTCCACGTTGGCTTTGAACCTCAGTCCTCCTGGTCTCTGCCTCTCAAGTAGCTAGGATTGCAGGTGTGCGCCACCAGCGCCCAGCAACTCTTCTGAGAGTTTTATGGTGTTAGCTCTTATGTTAGGGTCATTGATCTTTTTAGAATTAACTTTTGTACAGTTTCTCTAGTACCATTTGATGATGAGACTGGTCTTTCTGTTGTTACTGTTTTTAATCTACCTCTTTTTTAAAAAGTTGCTCTAGTATAGTGGTTAAGATCACTTGTTCAAGAAATAGAATGCTTGCGTCCAACTCTGGTATTACTGCTTGCTACCTGTGTGACTTTGGCAACTTAACTTTCTTAACATTCAATTTTGTTATATATAAGACTTAACTCTATAACATTATTATGAACAATACATATGCAGTACATGTAAAGCACTCAAGATTCCTGGTGATATGAGATCAGTGTTGTCAAAATTAAAATTTATGATCTTTTCAAGACATCACTCTTTAGTAATGACTAACTTAAATTGCAGTCTATCAAGCCTTGAGTAATCAATTTTTCAAAAGGTGGGACTACAGAATAACTCAAATGAATTTAGATTAATTAGAAAGATAATGATTGAATGGACACTTATAACCTATCAAGACACTTTATATATTATATACTCCTTAAATCAATTCCTATTTTATGAATAAGAAACTAGGTTTAAAGTGTTACCTAACTCTTCCAAGATACAATTATATAATAATCAAGTGGCAGAGATATAATTAAAATCCATATTTAATTAATTTGGAAGGTCTGACTTACTGTGAAAGTTAAAAAAAAGAGTTAATAAAATATATAACCTGTCTTTCTTTCTTAAATTCATGTGCTAATGGAGTAAGGAGAGACAAAAAGGGTGTGTGTGTGATATATATATGTATGTGCCATGTAAAATTGTATACTAATTAGTTCTTTAACAGAACAGTTTATTGTGATTTAACTTATATACTTGTGGTTAAACCTCAAACTACAGCATATTTGCACTTCTTTAAATAATCAGTACTTAATATGTTTTAATATTTGACCAATTTTTCTTTTTTTATTATAGTCTCTTAGTCTAGCATTGTAACTGATAAGAAAATTTTTCACGCATAAATTTAGTTTCTTTTGTGATTCTCTTAGATGTAATAAAAGAACAGAATCGAGAGTTACGAGGTACACAGAGGGCTATCATCAGAGATCGAGCAGCTTTAGAGAAACAAGAGAAACAGCTGGTAAGTAGAACATTAAATTTAGGTTTAACTTTCCGGAAACCTTCGAAATTAGTGTTGGAATAGTGAGTTAACTGAAGAAAGACATGTGGGTAGGTGGTAACTTACTTGACTAAGAAATGCCATTCGGTGCTTTCCTGCATTTTCTGCTTACCTTTATTGTGTCATTCTGCTGACTTTTTCCTCCCCAGAATTCTGTGTATTCTGCTGACATAGAATCAAATTATTCCTCAGTTTCTTAAAATCATGAATGACTAGGAAGAACTATTTCTCAAAACAGAACTACCTTCTTCTTAGTTGACCCCAAAGATAAAATAGTTATGGAAAATAAAGAGAGATTTATTTTTAAAAATTCATTAACTCCTAGATGTATTACTTTACATTTTAAAGATGATTCTTTTGTGATAGTAGTTTTTTATAGGCTTATCTGTTTCATCTTTACATACTGTTTATGCTGTAGTTTTAAATGTATATTGCCTCAGACCCTTTTTTTGGAATAAAGGCAGTTTTGTTCAGTGTAATTAACATGCAGTAAACTGTACGTATTTAAAGTATGCAATTTGATGTGTTTTGTTATCAGTATAAACCCTGAGACCATTGCCACAGTGAAAGTAATAACCTGGCCATCATCCCAAATGTTCCCTTCTTCCTTTTAAAGTCCTCCTACCCTTCCCTTACTGTCTTCTTTTCTTAGTGAGGCAAATGTAGATCTGTTACTAGATGAGATTATGTTTCTAGAATTTTATAAAAATGGAGTTTTATATAAACTCTTTATATGGCTTCTCTCAGCATAATTTTTTGAGGTTAATGGTGATTTTCAAAAATTAAAATAACCTTTCCTCCTGGGATACACCCCATTTGGTAAAGATGCATTTTAAAATGTATTTCTAATTTTTTGAAATTCTGTTAAGAATATATTGTATCCATGTTGGTGAAATATATTTTTAGTTTCTTTTCCTACAGTATTTTTTATCTGATTTTACTGTCAGTAATAATACTGGCCTCATAGTATAATCTGACAGGTGTCCTTTACTTTCTTCTCCTGGAGTGTTTGTATATCGTGTTTTACTTCCTTAAACGTCTGATAGAATTCTTCAGTAAAATCATCTACGAGGGAAATTTCCTTTATGGACAGACTTTTTTTTCTTTGTTTTGTAGTACTGGGGTCTGAACTCAGGGCCTACCACTTGGGCCACTCCACCAGCCTTTTTTTTGTGATAGTTTTGAGATAGGATGTCGCAAACTATTTGTCTGGGGTGACTTCAAATCACGAGCCTCCTGATCTCTGCCTCCTAGCTAGGATTACAGGCGTGAGCCACTGGCACCAGGCTGTGGACATACTTTTAAAGTATAAATTCTTTTTTAAAAAAATAGATATACAGTGGATTATCTGCCAGATGTGTTATATTGGTTATGTGAAGTAATTTGTCAATTCTCACTAAATTTTAAAACGTAATGACATATTACTATATGTAATATTCCCTTAGTACTTTTTAATGTCTTAAGATAAGAAGTGGTGCCCTTCTTTGGATTCTTATATTTATAATTTATGTGTTCTCTCTCTGTTTTATGCTTTTTCTTCACAAGTATAGCTAGTGGTTTATCAATTTATCTTTTGTTAAAAAGAAAAAAAAAACAGCTTTTGCTTTTACTGATTTTCTGTATTGAGTTTTCTTTCCTAGTTTGTACATTTCTTGGCTTGTCTATATAATTTCCTTCATTTTGCTTTCTTTGTGTTTCATTTACTCGTATTTCTACTTTATGTTGAAGCTTACGAGGTACTCATTTTTCTAATATAAGCATTAATGCTATAAACTCCTTAACAGTTTTAATTGCAGCTTACAAATTTTGATATGTTGCATTTTCATTTTACTGAGTTCAATTTATCTCATTTCCTCTTATGTCTTTTTATCCCACGACTTACTTAGAAGCATGTTTTTAAGCTTCTGCTTGTCATTTTGCTTCCATATTTCCATTGTTGATTTCTAGTTTCCTTTCACTGTGGTGAGAAAATGCACTTTGTATAATTTCAGTCTTCTTAAATTTATTGGGCCCTATTTTCCAATGCACAATATGGATATCTTTATAAGTATGCATTGTAAGTGCATACTTACAAAGAATGTGTATTCTGTTATTGATGATAGAGTTTCTTATGAATGTCAGTTAAATCAAATTGGTGATAGTGTTGTTTAAGTTTTCTGTACCATTACGGATCTTTAGTCTGTAGTAGTACCTCCCTTATTCATGGTTTCACTGTATGTCTATGGTTTCAGTTGCCCTTGGTCAGCGTGGTCTGAAAATATTTTATGGAAAATTTCAGAAACAAACAATTCATAAATTTTAAATTGCACACTGTTCTGAGTGGTTTGCTGAAATCTTATCCTGTCTAACTCCATCCCACCTGGGAAATGAATTGTGTCTTCCATTGTATCTGCACTGTATAAACTACCTGTCTGTTAGTCACTTAGTAAGTAGCTTTCTGTATTAGCAAATCAGTTGTCGCAGTGTTATGTTGCTTATATTCAAGTGTTCCTTCTATTACTTAGTGATGGGCCTAAAGTGTAAATAAAAGTAGTGATACTGGCAGTTCACATATGCCAAAGAGAAACCATAAAGTGCCTTCCTGAATGAAAAGGTAAAAGCTTATGATAGGTATGTGTGTGTAGAAAGAAACATGTATAGGGTTTGGTGCTGTCCCCAGTTTCAAGCATCACTGGGAATCTTGGAACATCTCTGTGAAGAGGGGAACCACTGTTTTTGTAACAATTACAGCAGTATCTTTAAAGGAGGAGTTGTTGATTTCTCGCATGCTAATTATGTATTTGTTTATTTCTCCTTTCAATTCTGTCAGTTGTGCTTAATATATTTTGAATCACTGTTAATGAGGTGTGTACACATTTAGGATTATCCTTAGGTCTTTATACATTGGTTTCTTTATTTTTGCTTATAATATTCCTTGTTTTGAAGTTTGTTTGATCTGATTTTAATATAGCCACTCCAGACTTACAAATTGAGATAAATATATAGTGTGCACTTTTTCAGTTTTAATCCAGCCTTGCTTTTATATTTAAAGTTGGTTTACTTTTTAAAAAATCTAATCTGATATTTTGCTTTTTAATTGAGGTGTAAGATACCATTTCATTTAACATAATTATCTGTATTACTAGCATTAAATCTGTCACCTCATCTTAATTTTTTTTGTGTCACTAACTCTTGGATTTTTCTACCTACTTTTGGAAACTCTTCAAAAATTTTCTTCTGAGTCCTGTGGACATACTGTTTTGTAGACTTGTATTATATTCATGGATGAAGGTATGAGTTTTTCTTTCCCATGTGAACATGTGTTACTCCCTCTCTCAAATTAGTCTTTCTTTCTATGACTTTATGTCAGTCTCTGCTCTTTAGGGGAGAAGGGACATGTTGTGCCTATAAGGTCTGTTCTTCTGAAGTAATCACTGAGGACCATCCTCAATGATTTTATTCTCCTCTTTTTATTTCCTTTCTTAGGAATTAGAAATTAAGAAGATGGCCAAGATTGGTAATAAAGATGCTTGCAGAGTTCTAGCCAAACAGCTTGTACACCTACGGAAACAGAAGACAAGAACTTTTGCTGTAAGTTCAAAAGTGACTTCTATGTCCACACAAACAAAAGTGATGAATTCCCAGATGAAGATGGCTGGAGCAATGTCTACTACAGCAAAGGTAAGCTGGAACCGTTATGGCATACATTTATAACTTTATCAGACATATTTAAATATTTTTGGTTGTGGTGGCTCACACCTGTAATTCTAGCTATTCAGGAAGAGAAGATCAAGAGGATTACAGTTGGAGGCCAGCCCAGGCACAAATTTAGTGAGACCCCCCCATCTCACTAAAACCAGGTGTAGTGATATGTGCCTGTGATCCTACCTATGGGAAGCCATAGGTAAGGGGATTGGATTCCGACACCAGCCCCTTGTAAAAAAACACAGGACTCTACCTGAAAAATTACTGAAAAAACAAAACAAAACCAAAAGCCTGGGAGGATGGCTCAAGTGGTAGATTTAAATCAGATTTAAAAAAAAAACCTTTTAGCATATATTTGATGCAGAATCTTCTTAGTAACATGAGTTATAATAATAGATAATTCAGAATTCTAGATTTTTTATTGATATGTTTTAATATAAAGTAAGGATACTTACATTTTCCTTGGATACGTCCAAGTTTACAAAATTTACTTAAAATAGTATTTGTTTTGTCCAATAAATGGTCAGAAGATTTTTGGACTTCTCATTTTTGTTAAGCTGTCATTTCTAACTACTTTTGAGAAATAATTTCCTCTTGATTTGCTTTTATAAATGTTTGGAAAGATATGAATATTGTCAAAAAGATTTGCTGATTGACATTTTTCAGGAACTTATGTTTAACTTACTGTTTATAGATATAATTAGTATTTTATTGTTGAGTTTAAAGGACTGCGAGCCTTGCAATCATTTAATAAATAATGAATTCCTTGATATATATCATATTTTGTGAGTAATTCAAAAGAGGTTGGGAGTGTGTGTAAGATGTGTCTGTTTAGGAATGTAACCATTGTACATCAGTCTGTGGTAAGCTTTGCAGAGCTACACAAATCTTTCGATTGGGTGATCCAAAAGACTTTGCAGAAGTCTTTTGATAACAATATCACTAGGTGTTACATGTAGGGAGAGGAAAGTGTGCATGTGAAGGGTAAAGGAATAAAAGCCACAGAGGAAAGTATTTGAAAACACCATTAAACAACACTAAATAGACTGCAAAAAGGACTCCTGTTTATCATATTGAACCTGAGATAAGAAGTCAAATCTTCTCTGTGTTTGACTTAAATGCTTGGTAGGCTGTGCTTATGTCACTAGTGAAAATTAAAGCACTGCTAGGATTGATTTGAGATAACAGATAAATTTAGCAAGTAGGCAAATTCACAAGTATGCAGTCCACAAATGATGATCAATTATAATTGCTTTTTAGACTACAGAAAACATTAAAGTACAAAAAGTATAGTAACACATTACATACATTCTTTAAAAAATAAATTTCAGAATAAATTTTTTCTCAGTTAACTTACTCTTGATGGATTGTAGTCCTTTACAGTGAAAAGTATACAATTAAGGGCAAAACTTTTCTTTGGTCTTACAGATGGATTTGGGGGAAAGATATGTGATGATCACTTAGCTGGGCTGGGGAAGTGCTGTGGTGTTGAGTAGAGATTGCTCATCTTGCAGTTTTGTGAAATTGACAGGCTAAGGAAGGTTACCTGATATGGTCTTGCCATGTAGAGGTCTGACTTGGAATTCTCAATTAAATTTCTTAAAAATGTGTTAACTCAGCAAATACTTGTTTAGGCCCTTTGAGTGGAAACTATAACAAGTAATTGGTAATGAAATAGAAAGTAAAACCAGACTGGAGCCTAAGCGTCATGGAGCTTGCAGTCTGTGTAAGAGGCAGTGTGTATAGTGGTTATGAACATGAGCTCTGATTGGGCTCAGTTTTCAGTTCAGTCAGTTGCTGTGTTGCCTTTCTGTGCCTCCAGTCTCCATTAGCAATATGGGGAAAACGGTATCAGTTTTAAATGTCATCACTAATACCAGAACAGAGTTTGGCTTACAGTATAACTGTAGAGGCATTAGCTACTCTGTCATCCTCATCATTTTTGTTGTTAGTATTATTCACACAATAAAGTAAATTGCAATTAAGATAATACAATTTAAATCAACAAATGTAATTTTTCATTAATACTGAGTAGGATTTAACAAAGATGCATGTTCTCCTCTTTGGCGTCAGAGTCTATTTCCTTAAGAAAGCTGTATATAAACTGAAATCTGAATTGCTAATTGTGAAAGCAAGTGGAGCGAGCACTTCAGGTGAGGGACTGGCATATGTAAGTGGAAGACCAGTGTGCCTGGTGGGCATTGGTGGCAAATGAGACTGTCCTGTTAAGCAGATTTTAGCTGATGTTAGGTCTCAGACAAATTATAGAATTTGCTTTCAACACAAATAGCAATGGAAAGGCACTGGAGAGGTAGGTGTTGGGGGAGGGGGGAGTTGGGTAGTGCAGCAGCATTCATGGAAATACTGTTTTGTTATATACAAGACTGTTTCTTTTCTATATTTGAAACCAGTATGTTTTCTGCTGTACATTATCTTTTAGTGTACCAAATTAACTATATAATACACACATACATGCATATAGAATGCATAGTATGCATAGAATACATCACATATATGTATTTTTTTTACCTTATTAATCAACAGAAACCTTTCAACTAAATATATACATGTATAACAATTCTTTTCGCATATTTTTGGGAAACAATTTATTTCTTTAAACTGTAGTAATAGTCTTAAGCATGTGTGCTAGTATGTCCTCTAAGATTTTCTCATTTATACATCAAAATATTAATGAAATCAACAATTAAATTAAAATTTCTTTTTAATTTAGACATTATCTACTTGCCATATAACAGGTAAAATTGATTTTCTCATTTGAATAGCAATGACTTTTATGTTGATAATGTTTTTTACTACATAATATTTTGCCTGCTATTCAGATGAGGTTTTTCATATCAGACTTTATTATATAGATGTTAGGCAGATGGTTTCTAAGTAAAAATTTCATTTTTTCTATTTTATTTACTATTCTATGTTGTATTATGACAGGATGGTATGCATCCTGACAGATAATGCCTGTCTACATTAGATGTTTTCCCTCTAGATTTATTCCATAGTAAAATTTTCATAATTACATAGCTAACATGAATCTTTTTGTATATTTAAAGACAATGCAGGCAGTTAACAAGAAGATGGATCCACAAAAAACATTGCAGACAATGCAGAATTTCCAGAAGGAAAACATGAAGATGGAAATGACTGAAGAAATGAGTAAGTTTAAGATGTTGTAATGAAATGTGCAGTTTTCTCATTTTTGAATCAGCCAAATTCATTTACTAGCCATCTGGCATTCTCATTTATGAAGGTACAAACAACGAAATAAGAACTGTTAAAGCAACCTTATAGACAGACATTTTTTGTCATAACTTTCAAGATATTTTTATATTGTCAATGTTGAAGGCTCAAAGTTCTTTTATTATTTACCTGAGGGAAAAATATAAAATATGTTATGCCATATTTATATTGCATATTGGCCTTAATAGTCTTAACTTTATTGATTAGTTATTGTGAATTAAATAAATCTTCTTTGTATAAATTAAGTAGATTCAGAATTATATTGAAGATCTGTTTGTTTTGGAGGTAGAGTTAATAGAGGTCTTCCTTTTGCCATTCCTCTCTCAGAATGTCATTTAATATTTAGTTTTCTTCTTTTTGTGTGAAAACTAACTACATGTGGTAGAAAAACAGAGAATAAAAAGAAACAGAACATATATCATTCATCTGTCCTAACATCATCTAAATATTGTTACTGTAAATGTGTATTTCTTTCGTATATTTTCCCATAGTTATAAAAGTGAGTTCATGTTAACATGTACAATCATAAATCTTATCCTACTTTTCAAAAACATAATAGTATAACATAAACATGTGTGCATGACCTTAAGTCTTCTCTGAAGCCTTTTTTAAAAAAAGTTTTAGTATCACATATTAATTATATGCCCTAATTTATTAAACCATTCTTACATTGGTTATTATATAAGTGATAATTCATCAGTCATTAAAAATTTAGTAACAATTTTTTCAAGCACCTTGAAAAATCATATTTTTCAAAATAAAGACATAAAGTACAAAGTAAACAACTTTTAGAGCTATCAAAGATAGCACATATATTATCACTAGAAGAAAAATGGATACTGTAAAATAAAATACTGGAACAATGAGTATGGTAATCCTAGCATAGTCCTAGCATTGTTTTAAAATTTTCAGTGTATTTGAGATATATATATGTATCGGCAGTACAGGGGTTTGAACTCAGGGCCATATTCTTGCTAGGTAGACACTTTACCACTTGAATCATGTCCCTAGTTCTCTTTTGCTAAATTTTTCAGATAGGGTCTTGTACTTTTCGCCTTGCACTGTGAGTTTCCTACCTATGCCTCCCATGCAGCTGGGATTACAGACGTATGCCCCATGTCCTTTAAAAAATATGTATTGTGTTGTCTTATATCTTAAATCTTATTAGAGTTTAAAATAAGCTTTATAAGGCTTTTAATTTATACTACCAAATCCTTTCAGAAAGATCATACTGATACTTACTTCACCAGTAATGGATGAGTAACACCCAAGTCAATACCGAATGATTACTTACATATTAAAAGTTTGCATCATTGTTTTGCAAAGGTATTTTTTTTTAGCTTTTTTACAGCTATGTAGGAATATGCTAGTTTGGCCGTGTGTATCTGCTAGCATTTTAGTTTTAACAGTATTTAGTGTATAAAATAATACCTATTTAAATTGCGAGGATTACTGTGTTCATTATGATTCTAATATTTTAGAGTATCTATTTTGCTTCAAGGTGTAGTGATAACGTATGTGCTATCTTTGACAGTTCCAAAAGTTGTTTAGTTTACACTTCATGTCTTGTCTTTGAAAAAAACGACTTTTTCAAGACCCTTGAGACATTGTCAGTAAATTTTTAATGACTGAGAGAATCGTCATTTATATATTGATCATAGTGTTTGTCATGTTTATGTGATTTCCAGTGAAGACACAGATGCAAGCAGGTCCTAGTGGAATTAGCTTTTCCACTAAACTATAATGATAACAATCAGTAAGCCCTTAGTTAACCATATAGCTATCATATCTATCAGTTTTTCCAAGGTGTCTTTTAGTACCTTTTAAGTCAGTCTGAAATAATAAGAGTTACTTTTGGTTGAGCCTATCTTTTTCCAATTAGAATTGGTAGTGTGCCTTTGTTCCAAAATTTATTCACATTCAAGTTTGGAAACAAGGTCTTTAAGGAAATCTTCATTATTATCTTTGATTAGTTTTGTTATGCTTTTTCTGAAAGTTTTCTTCTCTGCTAATTCCTCATTACATTTGCAGGTTGTTCTCATCTATCCCTTTCATTCATCCTTTCTGCAGCTCTTCTTCATTCATACCCTTACAACTCTGACCTATATTTCCCACCTCCCTCCTCACTTCACTGTCATCCAAGTAACTCAGTGCTGAGTTAATTTTCCAAGAGCTTACCTCTGCAGTGTGCTGACCAGATTCTTTCAGTGACTTCCTGCTAATCAAGATGTAACACCCCAAAGACAGTTTTTTGGTCAAGGCTTTTTATTTTGCCAATGAAAATAGGAGCTGCAGAGAGGTAAAATAAGTTTCCCCAAAGTTGCATGGGTACTATGCGAAGAAAGTTAGATTCTAATAATTGTCTTAATATTAACTTTATTTCTTCAGAGATGATGTTCTTCATTTCTTTTTTTAGTCTATAAGCTTTTTAGTCTTGTTCAAATTTACTTTATACTACTAAAGTAACAAAAATTTAATATTCAAATTATGCACAGATCAGATACCATAACCAATGTCAAGTGATTATAATGTCAAGGCTTCAAGTAACTAAGATGCACTGGCAAAGCAGGGAGATGATTGGGACACCTGTCTTAAGCACAAGAAATGTGGTCAGAATACCAGATGTGTCCGATAAAGTTTTTTATTGTCTTATGTGGAAGGAAATACTGAAGTGTGAAATATCTCCAATGTACTCATTCTTCAGATAGTTGCCTACCTTATATACCCAGGGAGTCGTGGCTCATTAGCCCACAGATCATCGTTTAACTATAGCATTACTAAACCAGGACATGCTAAGAGCATTTTATAGACAAGGACTGCTTTAGTAACAGATAATTTCGTCTTTTACTGATTACAAGGAGATCACACTAGGTTACCTGTTTTTCTTCCCCTGTCATTTTCCCTAAGTATTCAGAGGTGCTATTGGTATAGGCTGATTGCTTTTTAGTTTTTATCTCTTAGTATTTTCCATTTATGCAACTTGAATAACAACCAAGCAGAAGAACTTATTCTTCCTTATCTGTGTCCCTATTGCCTCACCTTGTCTGTATCTGTTTGATCAAATATTATGCATTCCAGGACTTTCTCACATTACTTCTCGCTGATTGTAACCTCATTCCTCTGAAACATTGTAAACATACATCTCTCCATTTATTACAGTTTTATTTTTATTTTGGTTTGTTTTCTACACAAGAATAAACCACCAAATGTCTTTATTTTTCTTCATCTGTCTTTCAATTGTATTTGAACTGTATATTAGACAGGTACCCAGTTTCAGAGATAAATAATCTTGGGCTTCAAAAATTCCTTCCCTCTAACTCACCATGATGTCCTCTATTCAGAAGGCTTTCAATAAATACTTTGGATGGAGAAGGGAAGAATTATAGAAGTAAAAATCTTGCAAGATTAAGTCGGGCATAATTTTGGGGGAAAATTTAATAAATATTGAACCTTAGACTTTACTAAAATATTCTACCTGGATCTTGAGTACAAATTTAAGAAGTATGAAAATAATAAAGAGTAAATGGTCTCCTAAATATTAACAAGATATTTGATTCTTACATTTTTTTTCCTGGTTAAGTTTAGTAGCTACCAGCTCAATGGATACAATTTGTGGAATCAAAAAAACAAAACAAAACAAAAACTAAGCATGTAGCTTTCAATGTCATATAGGTTTTGTTCATTAAATATATATGTATTTATCATTTATTTTTATTGCAGTGCTGAGATTTATCCCAGGCCCTTGTGCATACAGGGCATACATACTACTGAGCTTTTTCTACCGCAAAGATATAATTTCATTTAAAACTTCAGAGTAGATATGCTTTATTATAGGTTAGTTTGTGTTAAAATGACATTATTCCAAATTTAATGGTTCAGAAATGTATTTATCAGTATATTTCACTGACATTAGAAAGTAATTTTTGTAGTTTGTTTATTCACCTATATTTGCCTTCTATAATACTAAAAATATGTGTACATGGTTTGATTCACTTCTAAACTATGAATCTAACCTGAAATCTATGTGAAAGTAACTGTTTTGTTCTACCCCTCTCGCCATACCCAGTAAATGACACGCTGGACGACATCTTCGACGGCTCTGATGATGAGGAAGAAAGCCAGGATATTGTAAATCAAGTTCTTGATGAGATTGGAATTGAAATTTCTGGAAAGGTATTGCCATCCTCTTTTCTTAGATGACAGTAGTTTCTTCCACTTATCATGTCATTGTTTTAAGTTGTCCTTTAGTGTTACTTGCAGGTTTTTATATTTGTTTCTGAAGTAAATTACTTTGCAGTACATCCTGGGTACCCCAAATGTTTACTAATACACATTGTTTTTCCTCTTTTTTGTGTAATATAGATGGCTAAAGCCCCGTCAGCTGCCCGAAGCTTACCATCTGCCTCTACTTCAAAGGCTACAATCTCCGATGAAGAAATTGAAAGGCAACTCAAAGCTCTAGGAGTCGATTAGTCAACAAAATCCATAATATTTTTGCTTATTTACAGTTATTTAATATAAAGCAAATACAGTGCAGATTCCTTTTGCAAAACACATTTATTTTACAAAAATGAAGACCATGAGTGAACATCTGTTTCCTAACCCATGGCTATTTTGAATCTTTTGCCAAAGAATGACAATGATGCAAAAATGGGAACCGTTTGGATTTTAATTAGAACTATTTAGGAGTGATGTGTAAAAAGTTGACTTCTTTTCTGCATGGCATAGAAAAATTTATTCATTACTTAATATTAGTTTATGTTGTAAATCTTTTACACCAATTACAAAATTCTTGTTAAATGCCACTAGGCACCAACTTAAAGAGACCTATAAAAATATTAAAAGTATATCATTAATTCTGTATCTGTTGCTTATTCTTTGTATACAGTTATGTGTTATAACTATAGGTGGTTCAGCTGCCAAATTATTTTTAAATGAGCTAAAAGAAGAGTGCTATTTAAACATCTGTCTTAAAACTGTCGTGAGCTTTTCTTTTCTTCTACTTTTTTCCCTTGGGACAACATTTTAGTTGGTAAGTTTATTACCTTTCAAAATGTGCTTGACACCTGCCTTAAATAACACAAACATACTGTGCACATGTTTAAATTATTTTAATTGGCTCGAAGCAAATTACATTTTAAACTAAACTTGAGGCATCTTATAATGTTAACCAGACTCTCTTATAAAACTTATAAAGTAAATTAAATATGATTACCAAAAGCTAAATGAAAACAAAAAAAACCTTTGAACTAGTAACATTTTATTGTAATAAAACAAATTATTATGATCTCTGTTCAATTTTGAATTGTGTTCCTGTTCATTTTAAACCCTCTAAATTGAAGCCATTATTCTTAATTTGGTATTACTACTGTGATAATACTTAATCTGAATTTCAAAAATAAAAACTTACCTTTTTTTTTCCATAAATAAACCACAACTTTGTCAGAAATTACTGAGTAAATATGTATTACTGTGTTAGAAGAATTTTTTAAGCTAAAGTTGCTATGGTATTTTATGTATAGAGAGGAAGAGAAAATGAAAGATGCCATAGAGTTAGAGATAGCATTTAGAATTAGGTTAGTTTTGAAAAATTATATGGTAATATATGAATTCTGATACATCCTACCAGAAAAATTCTGGAGGAGTTCAGATATGTGTAACCTGGATAATTTGGAATGATGAACATTTTGGATTCATGCTAACGAAGTCATCATTTTAGGACTAGTGTATGTGTTAATGTGGATAGGTGGAAGAACAAAAAGCTAAGCCATCTAACTTAGAATCCATAGTCTGTTTTGTAGTCAAAGATAGGTTTCATTATTGATAGTTTTCAGTACATAATTTATAATTTCCCTGTACAATGGTGAGTCACACGTTTTACTGTACTGTGGCATGTTGTCCCAGAACATGTTTTGATTCTTGGATGTACATGATAATGCCATCTAACCTTATTACTTTCTTGTCTATATGTGGGGACTTTTGCTTTTAAAATTATTTTGTAAAAAAAAAATAAAGATTTATTACTCTTGTCCTTTTTTCCTCTCATCTCTTTTACTCTGTTTTTGACCCGTCTTCTAAAATTAGAAGTTTTATGCATATTTGATAACTTTTAAAAGAATCATTTTTATTTTTTGGGAAGAAAGTTACATAACTCTGCTACTTATTTTTAACAAGAAAAATGATATGTTTAAGAATTAAAAATTGATACTGATGTTTATGAATTTAGTAAGCCTAAGCAGCAGTGTTTCACATCAAATTGGTCTGATAATTCCTTTCCTGGAGTTCCCAAAGACTAAACATTTTCAAATTTAATTTTAAACCTGTAATTCTTAGTGATTGCTTTCATTTTAGTTGAGTCTGGATACCACAGAAGACTTTTGGACCCAAAAGAGAGAGTAGATTCATTCTGATTTGGCTACATTTATAAGTGCTTTTGGTGGTAGTTTTACAGTTGTAAGTTTGTAGTGTTACTCTATCATTTACTAAGAGTTCCTTTTGGACTCTTTTATAGAATAGGAAATAAGGATTTTTATAGACTAAGCATAATGGCAATTGTGGGGAGCGGATTATGAGAAGACTATGAGAGCTTGACATAAGCACAGTTGTGCTCAATGACGTAAAGGCTGAGTTTGGCACAGTCCCAAGCCATAGAAGACAGCAAGAGGAAAAATGCAGCACAGAGAAGTAGAGAGCAGTTTTCTTTTGTTACAATGTCATGCCCCTCCCTGTTTACCACTGCATATAAAAGACTTGCTGAAGGAGGATGGGGGTTTTTGATTGGCTGGCTGCGGGCTGCTTGTGAGGCTGATGCCGCTGCTACTGGCTGTTGTGTGTTACTACCCACCAGAGCATCTGTCTGCACTGAAAACTTTATACATAGGCATTAAAAAAGCTAAGCTAAAGAAAAGCTAAAGATAACATGGGACAGTACAAGATTTTAAGAGTTATACTAATGCAGTTTTTAGATGTGGCTGGTGTTGTTTGCAAGTCTGAGCACTGAGACTTTAAGAGAAAACATGGGACAGTGCAAGTCTGAAGGCTGAGACTTTAAGAGAGATTAAGGAATATGTGGGACAGAGTGAGTCTAAGGAAAGAGACTTTAAAGACTAGAAACAAGCAAGAAGTAAGGTTTTAAAGACTTTAGAAGTAAGGTCTTAAAGAATAGAGAAGAAAAAAAGCAAAGTAAAAGAAGAGAATAATAGAGAAAAGTAATGCGGCTGTTGTGCGTCTCCATCCAAGTGCCCAGCGCACCTGATCCCAACTTTATGCATGTCTTGTCTTCTCATCAGTTAGCCTTTTCGCATCTCCAGTTGCCCCCAGTTAAGTTCATTAGGAACGGAGCTCTTGAGAAAGCTCGCTACAGGCAATATTTTTTTTAAACCTGTTCTCCCTAACTTCCCTTTTATGATCATGGAATGTCTTTATCATTTGTATTTAACCAGCACTCTTGCCAATAGAAACAGCAGAATAATATACCAGTATCTCTGATGCTGAAAGGGATGTGGCCCGATCTCACATTTTGTTATCAGATGTGAAAGTACTGGATGGGGGAAATTTCAGAGTACTAGAGAAGTAAAACATGATACAAAGATGTCAATACAATAATGATAACACCTTGTCATTAGGGAAGATGAAATAGCCATTTCTCAGATGATGTTACACAGACTGTACTTTATGCTTTAAGGGATGTACCAGGCCAGTTGCCGGTGGCTTACGCCTGTAATTCTAGCTACTCAGGACGCAGGGATCAGGAGGATCATGGTTTGAAGCCAGCCCTGGCAAGCAGTTTGCAAGACCCTATCTCAAAAAAACCTTCAGAAAAAAAAGGGCAGGTGGAGTGGCTCAAGATGTAGGCCCTGAGTTCAAACCCCAGTACTGCAAAAAAAAAACCAAAAAAACAAAAAAAAAACAAAAGCCAGATGTACCAGGTTATGACAGGGGCTAGTGGGAAAGGACTCAAGGTTAGGACCTGATAGACCAGAGAGAAGAAGCTAGCAGTCTGTAAACAAAACGCTATTTGACTTGAACAGTAATGTATATTTTATTATTTGCAATTGTATGCCCTAGAAACTTAAAGCATCCCTTTAGCCAAATATGCTGTTCCTACAACCCCAATTCCCATGCTTTGCCTGATACAAGTGGACTTGATTTATGTGGACATTCTCATGTTAAAACACTTAGTCCTTAAAGGTCTAAAAAGAACCTTTAAGGACTTTGACCTTTGATTCTCTTTGACTACGCTGCACAAAAACTTTTGTCTGCTGCAGAAAAAGGTCACTTTTCTAATTTTGTTTTTGTAGAAACTAAGGTTACAAAAGGACTTAAAAGGATTCTTCTAACTTTAGTTCCTTAAAGAAGTTGCTTTAAAAGAAGCCTAAGGATTCTGAAGTCTGATTTGAGACACATACCCAATTACCCCTAAGAACTTGAAAGCACATATTCCTCCCTTAACACTGAAAATATTTAACTACAGATCCTTTTTACCATTAAAGATGGAAAGGTAAGTTATGTAAATGAGTCTGTAAACCGCTGGGTAAAGGCTAATGTATCGATCAGAATAAATGACTATAAGATATTTCCATCCTAATGGGTGACCCTATTTCCTGCAAACCACCAAAGAGCTCACAAGGACATACAATGGAAAGATTACATGGCTAAAGTCAGTCTATGATGTTTATTCACTGAATTATGAACATGTGAATACTACAACAAGTTGCATTTGCCATTTGCTTCATTACAGTTTAGGATGCTAAAAATGAACCCTTTTCTAATTTTCAGAGGTTAATATTTAATAAAATATTAATATAGTTAGAAAATAGTCTTAAAACTTAATACAAGAGATCTAATAGTAAATACCAGTACATTTGCAACTAACCTAGGAACAAATAAGTGAGTAAAGAATTGTTATTTCAGCATTAAGTGCTCATTCAAGATAATTCCTTTTATGGAATGCCAGTTGTATCTAAGCTTGAAAAGAATAACCTTATGGGTGAAACTGTGATTATGATCTAAGCATATATGTAGATTTGTTTATTTATTACAATTGCTTATTAAGTAATACCAGCAGAGTCATGTTTAAAATGCAAATTCAGTGATCTACATTTATGTTCCATTACATTTAGCTTCTACTTATGGTTTTCAAAGTGCATACATGCAATTTTGCCTATATGTGTGAACATATATGTGTGTTTACTGATCCTGCCTTTTGCAAAGTAAAGATTCCCCTCCTCAATTAATACGTGTTTTAAACAGGTAAACAAATGCTGAGTTATCTAGAGAAGAAACTTGCACTGCATGGCTGAATAATTGAATAAAATATTGAAGCTAACTGTTGTTAGATGCTAAATGTGAACTTGAGCTGGTATCTTCAGGCCACTGAAAACTGTCCTTTGTCAGTAACATGTCTAAATTTATTAGAAGTATATCAAAGTTGACGGTGACTGCATATCTATATATGATATGTATAGATTATGACCTGTCTAATACTAAGTGTCTAATACAAAAAAGACTGAGCAGTACATTAATAAGCATTCTTAATAAGATTTGGTCTACTTTTCACTTTTTTAATATAAAATTAGATGAACATTGCCAACAGATTTACATTCAAAACATAAAAAAAAATCACAATTCTAGATTTATATCACAATTTGCTTCTACTTGAGAGTATCGAAGCTCAATCTTATAAATAATTAAATAAATATCCTCTGAGATACAGTTCTCAGAATTGAAAAGCTCAACACTATCAAACTTTTATTGATAATGTATTTTAAATTACAATACCAATAGTCAAAAATTTTTAGGACCCCAGATGATTTTCTGGTTTGTGAAATTTCAAAAATAGATTACATTTTTAGATTAGGCAGCACCCTAATCACGTTCATGGTAATTGTTAATGATATAGTCGTCTATTCATTTAACAAAGATTGAATGCTTACTGTGAGCAAATACTTTACCAAGTGCTAGGGAAATAACAGCAAACCAGCCTGATCCCTTCCCTGCCTTAATGCAGCTCACAAACTGTTTTGGAGCTCTCCATAGGTGCTGGAGATTGAACTCAGGGCCCAATTCATGCTAGACACATGCTCAATTACTGAACTACACCTGGGCCTCCATATTTTCTATAGCTAAGTATCAAAAAGCGAATGTTTGGGAAGAATGAAAAGATCCTATGTAAGTGTTTCCTCAAATCTCTTTTGAAACACTTCAAAGGTATCAATTCTTCAAAGGTGTAAATTCTTATTGAGGTTTATGCTTGGAGGCAATAATAAAATTCTAAGTTGCCTCTTATTGTTAAGTTAAAAAATTTTAGTCCAAACAAAGTATTGGACTGGTGGTGTACAGAGTGTTGCTTAATGAATGTTCTAATTGGATCTTCCCTGGTTTATATCCTTAAATATGTGACTTCACTGATTAAACAATTAAAAAGCTAATAAGCTGACTTTAAAGGGCTTGTACACACTCAACTCTGGGGGCGGGGCTCACTGTTTTGTGTTTGACTTAAAATGACAATGGGACTTGGAATTTTTTTAAAGTAGAACAGAAAAGCTGCAGAAGTTATTGGTATAAAATATTTCTGAAGCCAACTAAGTAACTAAAAGTAGGGCACAAATGGTTAGTACACCGCAGGGAATCTTATCTGCACTCAAGATGCTCTTTAGAGACAGAATACAGACTTTGGTTCAGACTCGTTTTCACCCGTTTTTCTCTCTGCCTTCGGTTGCAAAACCAAACTCTGACTACTTCTTTCTCAAGATTCAGTTCTTCAGCCATTCGCATGATCTCTTGAGAGGAAGGTTTATTCTGTTCCCCAAAGTGTCTCTCCAGGGCATCTTTAGCTGCAATACTGGGGTGCAGGTGAGGGTGAGATTATATTATTTTAAGTGAAGTTTTTGGCAGAACAAAAGTAACTTTAATTTCCTAAGTATTAGCATGAAAAAGGAACTTAGGGATTCTGAAAAGAGTTGCAAAAGACAAATATACACTTTGTTAAACAGATGCTTATTTCAGGTAATATTACCAAAGTCACAGGAAAAAAAAATAGGGGACCCATGCTTTCTATGTTTATTTCACTTTGTGCCACAAGAGGGCACAAAGTTCTTGAAAAAGGAAATTAACACTTCTGTAGACCTTTCTAAACGCATGCTCCCTCCCCTCCCAAATTCTTTGGGTTATTTACAGTAGATGAAATGTCTAGTGGACAACTAACCAAAACAAAACCATCTTTTGCATTTCCTATGTGAAGTTCACAGAAACTATGAAAAGATCAGCACTAGTTTTTCTGGGTTGGAATGCAAGAGATCAGTTTGGACGTTAAGAGACTCATACTGGTGATAAGTTTGTTACTTTCAGTAAGATAAATAGCACATTGGCTGGGTAAGAGCTTATATCTAAAAGAACAGCAGAAGTGGCCACTCTGTTAGAAGTGATTATTTGGGGCTAGGCACAATGGCTCATGTCTGTAATCCCAGCTACTTGGGAGATAGAGATAGAAGGATCCCTGTTGGCAAAAAATGCAAGCCCCTATCTGAAAAATAACTAAAGCAAAAAGGGCTGAGGGTGTGGCTTAAGTGGAAGTAAGTTTTTAACCAAAACTTCTGAAGCCAAAGTACTTTTAAGTTAAATAATACATACTTTTCTACCAAATGTTAAAAATTAAAATTACTAGCTCTTCATTTCTCACTGTTAAGTTTTAAATGAATTTCTTTTCTTTTTTCTTTTTTTTTTTAAGACAGGTTCTCACTATGGAGTACTGGCTGACCTCAAACTTGCAATGTTCCTGCCTCCTGGTCTCTGCCTTCAAAGTGTTGGGATTACAAGCATATACCACCTTACCTGGCTTAACTTGTCTTGTTTGACTTGACTATTTTGTTTCTTCAGTTAACTCTATTCACCTCACATTTATATTTTAAAGTTGTACCTATGTTATACTCAAATGCTGGTTCCATTTGTAAAATATCTCTGTAAATTTCACATCCCAACAGAATACCTTATTGTTGTCCTCCGCTTTCTTTTCCTTTCATTTGCTCCCACTTTTTCATTGTACAAAGCTGTAATGTGGAAAAGATAGATTATAGCATACAGAAAATATTTTTAAGCTACCATATTTTATTTCAAAATTTTGTTTATAGAATAATTTAAAATAAATCACTACGCATTTCTATTTTAAATTTTTTCAATCTTGAGCATTTTAAACTCCATAGAAAACTGTTAGTATAGAAATAAACATTAACCTTGCAAGGATAATTTTCTACAAGTCATCACACTTCACTTTTGTTAAGAACACTTGTAAATGCTGTCAAACTATGCCCCTTACCCAGCCTTGACGTTGGTATGAGTAGGTAATTTTATTTTGTTAAATTTCTCACCCAGCAATTGCTTGTGTTATTAATTTGGAAGCTGGTGTTGAGAGATGCTCTGTGTACTCTAACACTAGGTTGTAAAAGTGATTTATGTATGGTTTTTCCAGTACAGCACAGAGACAAATGCATGAGGTTGTATTAAAAAATACTTCACCACTTAATGCTGATGTTGTTACCTAGAAAGCGTTCCTTATACACCTTCCTCTCCCCTCAGTGTATTTATTTCCACACTTGCATTTCATTGACTATCTTTTCTTCTTCTAGTATGGTCCAGCAAGATATTTATTTTTCATCTCAGAGATAAAAAGCCGGGGTGCGGGGAGGATACTCCTCAGACCTCTCACTTTAGCTGTAATCCTATCAATTGAAGTGGTTACTTTTAGGCTAAACCATAGTCCACACCACAGTCTTCAGAGATTTACTTTATTACCTCCTACTTGCTCAGCTTCCTCCAACCACTTGGATAGTATTGCTTTTAGTTTGCACGCATTTTTAAAGCTGAGCTGCAGGTTTTCAAAACGGCAGATAGTCGTTTGACTGAATTCAGAGCCATGTACAGCTGCTAGGGCTTCGCCAACGTTTGTCTGGGTGTATCCTGTGAAAGGGCAAGAAGGATCCTTAGTGCTAGCTTTTCAGGGAACATCAGTTTGGGTCCTTTAGCAGACAAATATGTCTTTATCCGTTACTGTTTTTTAATTAAAACTGTATTTTTTTTTAGCAATTTAGAATTATTTAGTAATATTCAGGTTAGGATTATCTAGTATATCAAAAATATTTCTTCTATATTTTCTAGAAGTCAAAAAAATTCAAATGGGAACATAATGATATTTAATCAAGTTGGATGGGTATTGTGTAAACACTTATAAGAAGCTGTAAAATCCTTACTCTTTTATCATGATTATTAAATATCGAGTGATATGTGCTCAAAATATTTACTATGTCAACAATAATATATGGCGATATGTCAGTTTTTTTATTTCAAAAGTAAGAGTAAAAATTTCAACTATATTGTTGAAAGGTACCAAATAAAACTGAGAATTACACTTACTTTCCCTAAAAACATGTTTTAATGAGGCTATGATCACACATTTTATGCACACCTCTAAGCACATTTACTGCATTATTTGGTAATACTTCTATCTCAAGGCAAAAGATCCTTCTTGATTGACCCTAGAGTATAAGTTGAAATAAGCCATCAACATATAACTTGAGACATTCACAGCAATATAAATAGAAAACTGCAAATGAGTGTAATAAAAATGCCTACCACTTTGTTTATTACATGTAGTAACTACATGTTATTTTAGGGCCTAAGGCTAGATACCTAAATGTAATGTATAAAGTGATTACCTATGATAGTCATCAATAATACCACTATAAAATCATCAATAATACCACTGTAAAATTATGTATAGTTCATTCCACAAGTTCAGAAATTTGAACTATCATTTTAACCCATGCTTTTTAAAAATATTCTACATGAATTTCAACCACAGTTAATTTTTAGTTATCTTATATTAACTATCCTGTTTCCTATTTTCAATAGGAAATGAGCAATGACTCTAAATAGACAGTTCACAGAAAAGGAAATATGAATGACTGTTGAATACATGAAAGAATACCCCTTACCTATGTTTTACATGAATATATAATAATTTTAAATGAAACTATATAACAATTTTAAATGAAACTAAAATGAGGTGCCACTTTGATTTGTCTCATTTCATATATCCAAAAGATTAAATAGTATATATTTTTTGCTTCAACCTTTGTTTATTTTATATTCTAGTCACCATTCTAAGTCCTGGAGATACATCATAAACGAGAAAACAAGAAGAAATCAATAAACTAAAGATCAATACATACTGTGCATAAAACGTGAGAGTAAAGGAAGAGGCACTCACAGTGGTAGTAAAATTTGGTACCACTCCTACAGAGACCAGTTTAACAGCATTTATCAAAAATATAAATACACGTAATCTTTGATCAGTAATTTTGCTTCTAACATATTTCCTACACATATGCTTATTTAAGTGCAAAATGACATAAACTCATTTGGCATTGTTTTATCACTGAAAGATTAGAAACCACCCAAGAGGACTGATTAAAAATGAATTGTATTCATAAAATCAAGGCTATAGAGTCTACAAGAAAAGGAGTGCTAGAAACACAGAAAGCCCTGGAATGCATCCGTGTAAAAGAACATAGAAAGGAGAATAATGGAGGGGATGAACCAATTTGGAGCGTAATACATATCTATGTGGAAATGTCACAGTGAAACTCCCTGTATGACCATCATAAACAAAGGAAAGTTTTTTGTTTTTTTTTTTAAAGTAAAGGACAAGAAGGTAAAACAAGTCCTGTTCTGGGAGTGGTACCAGTGGGAGGGAGGGAGGGAGGGCATAAGGAAAGGGTGAAGGAGGACAAATATGGTAGAAGTACGATTCACTTATGAAAACGGAACAATGAGACCTGTTGAAACTGCTCTAAGAAGAGGAGGAGAGGGGATAAAGGAGAAAGATGAAGGGGGTGAATCTAAGATATACTGTAAGCATTTTTGTAAATGTCACAATGAACCCTCGGTATAACTGTAATATGCTAATAAATAAGTAAACAAACAAATAACAAAACCCATGTATTTGGTTAAATATGCATAGCACATCTTTGGAAAGATATGCAATAAACTGAACAACATTGGTAATCTGGAAAGATAAGTAAAAGGTGTAACGTCACATATTCTTTCAAACTTTTGAATAATATGAATACATGATCTATTCAAAAGGCCAAATATAATACACATAAAAGGACATTTAAAAACTAATCTTGAGATAGGTAAGTTTTTTAAAAACCATTCATTTAAAAGCTTGGTTTTTAGCCTATTAAGAATTTGTAAGGAAATAAAAGGTTTTTTGGTAAGCTTTCATAATATGACTGAATTAAATCCATGGTAAAGATGTAGAATGAGAAGTATCTTGAGTTTTGAATACTTACATTTGAACAATGTAAGAGATTTCACAAGATAGAGTGAGGATTTGCAAACTAAGTTGTTTGCCCCATTGCTCTTAACAAACACATACCTAACTTAATTCTTCTCACTTTAAATTCGTTGGCAAACTTTTCAAGTTCTCGGATCTCTGGAGAATCCATGTCTATTGGTTCTTCCACCAATTTGTTTTTCCGCCTGAGTTCCTGTTTGAATTCCAGGGCTGTGGGGTCCTCAGCCAGGAGAGGCTGATGTAAGGAAGGAAACCCGTGGCTCAGGGTATGGTCAGGAAACTTGTAAAGACAAGGGGCTAAACTGCCTATGGTAAACAAAAAGAGGAAAGGCCATTGGTAATTATCCTTTATTTCTGTATAAGCAAGGATTTTTCTTGGTAGAGTCCATTTTTCTCTAAAGCCAGTCTTAATTCTTAATGGTTACCTTACATTAAGTCTTGCAAAAGAGGAGTCAGAGTAGGTTAGTAGGAATGAGCTTGTTTATCTTCTACCTTCTCCAGATAAGAAAGAAACAAAGATAATGGCAATGGAAAAAAACAAGCGATTGCAAATAATTAAAGCAAAAGTATTTTATAATTCTTTCAGAAGTGTAAGATTCCCATTACACTTTGTCTTAAAAAACACCCACTCTTGGGAATCTGAGATTCAACTCTAACAAGAATGTATGTATTGATCTCTGTTTCCAGAGATCTTGTAGCATTTGCTAAAATCAAGGCACTAAGTGTTTGGACTATGGGCTATGCCTGCAAATTTTCCTATGGTCAGGAAACTCATCTTTCAGTATTAAAATGTCCCACTGTTTTATCAGTAGTTATCTTCAGTTGGGAAATAAACATTTTTGTTAAATTTAATAATGGCAAGTAAAAACAATTATGAGAACTTAAAATACATTAATATAGTTAAATACATCTGAAGAGTCAATAGCCTAATAAAAAGTAACTTTAAAAGTTCTATTAAAATGTCAGCAACAGGATTTCTTGAAAAGTATACAGTCTAATGGAATTGTTTAAAGCAAAGCAAAAATAAATGGTATGGGAGGATACAATTTCATATTTGAAAGATAATCAATCATTCATAAATGATGAAGTATTGACTTCAGTTTGTTAAATTATAAGTCACAAAAAAGAAATATTCTGAGATCTTAAGTGCTTTCAGATTCCATTCTTTATTAAGAAAAAAAAGTCTTTCTCACCTCAGGATCATAGGTGAGAGGATGGCATGCAAGGCAAATCCTAACATATTTTCTCTCATTTTTCTTCATTCACATATTACTATTTTTATTGACAAAGATTTCACTTCAATTTATAGTAGATAACAGGCATATTCAAGATACTTTAGTATAAAAATATTAAGTAATTAATTATTTTTAAAAGTATAAATAAATATTTAAAAACAACTTTTATAGGATATATCCAATAGTTATTCCTGGAAACTTACTGAAAAAATATATCAAGAGTTCATGCTACCTATAAATACATAAATAAATCCATAAATACATTCACAAATCAGTGACATAATTAATAATGTATATAAATATTTCATTACTATATCAATATGTAATGAGCAAAACTAGTGAAAGTCAGCAAATTATCGGATTATATTGTTTATATGAAAATAATTATAAATTGCACCTCATTCCAATAGTGTATTATTTTTCTAATGAAAAGTGAACATACAAGTGAGAGATTAAACAAGATAGCATAAAATAAGTTTGACTGCTTAACAAGTATGAAAAAGATTTGAAAGAATTTTTGTTTTGAAAAAATGCACACTACCTTTACAAAGCAAAGTTATCTAGTTAAGTTGTTACATATCTTTTAATAACATCTGAGTAAGATTCTAATAGCTGGCTTGATCATTATTTTCAACTTCTCTTGCCAATAATAATGACAAATGATTATAAATCCTCTGTGTGACATTGTGCTCATTTCCCATTTGTCATGCTCTGTACATAAACAAATAAGTTAGGAAGGATATGTATATTTCCCCACAACTTGCAATTTAGGAAGCTTAGGTAAAGAGAAAATAAATAACTTTCCTCCAGTGCTCAAACAATTACCAAGTTCATTTTCTAAACACTCTGTACTCAGATAAATCAGATGAGTTCCTTGACAAGTTATTCCTACATTTAAACACATTTGGCTAAATTCAACACATGCTTTCAAACAAAAATATTATAATTATTTTAAAAAATATTAGAAGGGTGTAATACCTATTTCCATAAAAATTTAAAGTATTTATACATTATAGATACTCTAGGAAAGTGGTCATCTAGAAGGAGAGGGGAGGGGAGGGGAGGAGAGCAAAGGGAGGAAAGAAGGACAAGAGGTTGGGAAAGAAGGTTTGAAAAAATAGGACAAAAGAAAAGATACAAAGAGCAAAAATTTTTTAAAAACCCACTGGAAAGATGTGATCCAAGATAATCCTTTTACTATCTACTCATCAAGAGGAATAAATTTTTAACATCTTGGTTAATTCTCAAACATAAGCTTCTTTTTATTTCTTTTTTTCTCTCTCAGTTTATAATGAATTTTTCATATGTAAGGATTCTCCCTCCACTTCTTGGTATAACTGTTATGTCATATATTCAAGCTCAATTCAACATTCATTACTGTGAGGCTGATGGGCTGGTTCCCACAGGAGAGGGGAAGATTAACAGTCCATTGAGCTTGTTTTCTAAATGTCACCCTGCTTTAGAAACTGAAGATCAGATGTTTCTGATTTCAGATACCCAGGAATCAGAGAGTTCAGGATTTTTGTTGATATTTGGTTTTGCTTTGTGTGTGTGAAGCAGAAATTTCAAAGAGCATTTGTAATTCTGTTCCCTGTTATTTATACCATAGGATGCTGAATTATCTAAATTCTCAAAAGTAAAAGACAGAAGAAAGAACTTAACCACAAGTCTACCTGAAGAGCAGATCAAAAGAGGAGCAAGTTGAGTTGGTCCAAATTTGCTACCACTCAAACTGACAGTTGTAGTACCCACCGAAACTAACAAAGGAGGAGATCAAAACCCAGAGGAGCTGAGTGACTTGAACAGCGTTAGTAATCAGTTAATGGTGTGACTAATTCTTTGTTCCCAATGAATCATTCTTTTAGTCTGGCAGTAGCTGGGCCATAAGATACCGTGTATTCAACCGATGGTTAAAATCTTCCCTACCAACCTGATAAAATATTAGCTACAAGTCTTTCCTTCCTATGGATTAATTTAACAAAATGCTCAAAGTACAGCATTAGAGAATGGGTAATAAAGTAACCATATTAAAACAGTAATTTCACAAGCTTTGAAATATAGTTCTTTCTGTAGCTTCGCTTTCCTATGGAGTAGATGATACTAAACCTGTCTTTGTTGTTGATAAGATGCTTCTGTGGATTGTGTGGAAGTGGCTGATTTGATTAATGCCTTGAGACCTCTCAGAAAATTCAAATAACATAAGCTGGTTTCTATGTTATTCCTTTTTTCTTTTATTTCTGAATTCCTATATTGTATAACTCAATTTGTAAAGCTTCTCTGGGGATGAAGGCAGGAAAATTCAGATTCTGTAAGATTTAATCTGGCATGAAGCAAATGCTAATGCTGGACATATGTGAAAATACAGACATTCTGACATATTATAAAGCATAGTACATTTTAATGAAGGAATATTCAAATACAATCTCTATTTTGGCAAGTTTTTCTTTCAGTGACAAAATATATTTAATTTTAAAACTAAAATGATACTTCTAATCTTGGTAGATGGTTTTGCTCACGATTGTACTAAGCCAGGTTTGAATCTTGTCAAAAGTCTTTGTCAGGAGCATTCCTTTTTAATTGTGATGAGAAAGAGTTTAATGAATGAGTTTGATGAGTTTCTGCTTGTAAGAACTTGTACCAGTAAACCCTGAGCTACCTGCATACTCTCAATATGAACATGGCCCATTGACTTCAGTCATGGGGCAGGATGGATGTTAGGATTCTGAGGCCAGCAGCAAGCAGTGGACCTCTGATTTTATGGGAAGAGGGGTGATAGGAAAAACCAACTGAAGGAATTAAGGAAAGAGATTATTGGTCTCTGGTCTCTGACTGATTTTATCTTTGCACTAACTCAATCAATGGGGAGGGTATTCCTCTGTGCTGGTAAGAAAGACTAAAGGTATACCTGAGCTCCTGGAAATCACTGTGAGTGAATATTCCTCCCTGAGATGGTAGCACATGGCTTTGTGCTTGTCATTTCTTGTCTACAAAATCAACAGACAGTGAAAGCTAAAGAAAGAATTCCACCTGCACATCCAGGAGCTAAATACACATTTTACTATTTTATCATGAAGGTGGTTCATCACTGAGGGCTATTCTCATCATCCAAGAATACTGATTTAGTATGTGGGTCATAAGTGATCAACTTCAAAGAGAAAGAATATCTTTGATTTTTCTTATTTCTTAAGAAGTGCTAAAAATACAAGCCATGATATACACATAGATAATCATTAAGAACATCTGTCTTTATTTTACCATAAAAAGTGAGGATTCTAGTTCATTCAAAATGTTGCTTAGCAAGCATCAGCAAATATAAAAAAAAAAGAAATAATCCCTGCATTCTATCTTATCACAATGCATTAAAACTAGAACTCAACAACAAAAACAACAGCAAAAAATATGCAAATAATTGGAAGCCAAATAACACATTACTCAATGATGAGTGGGTCATAGATGAAATAAAAGTGGAAAATAAAAGGTTTCTGGAAGTTAATGAAAATGAAAACATGACCTACCAGAACCTATGGGACACAGCAAAGGCAGTCCACAGAGGAAAGTTTATAGCCATGAGTGCATATATTAAAAGGACAGAAAGATCTCAAATAAATGACCTATTCTACATCTCAAACTCCTAGAAAAACAAGAATAGGCAAAACCCAAATAAATCAGGAGAGAAATAATAAAAATAAGGGAAAACATTAGTGAAGTAGAGACCAAAAAAACCATACAAAGAGTCAACAAAACAAAATGCTGATTCTTTGAAAAAATAAAGAAGATTGACAAACCCCAGGTAAATCTGAATAAAATGAGGAGGGAAAAGACCCAAATCATCAAAATCAGAAATACAAAAGAAGAGATAAAAACAAACACCAAGAAATCCAGGGAATCATCAGAGACTACTTTGAGAACCTATATTTCAGTAAATTTGAAAATCTTGAAGAAATGGACAAATTTCTAGATACTTACGAACATCCAAAACTTAGCCAAGAGGATATTAACCACCTAAGCAGATCTATAACATGAAATGAAATTGAAGCAGCAATGAAGAGTCTTCCAAAAAAGAAAAGTCCAGGACTTGATGAATACTGTGCTGAATTCTATCAGACCTTTAAAGAAATAATACCTACCCTCCTTAAACTTTTCCATGAAATAGAAAGGGAAGGAGCACTGCCTAACTCATTCTATGAAGCAGTGTTACACTCATCCGAAAACCAGACAAAGACACATCCAAAAAGGAAAACTACGGACCAATCTCCTTAATGAACATAGATGCAAAAATCCTCAATAAAATAAAGGCAAACTGAATCCAACAACATATCAGAAAGATCATTCACCATGACCAAGTCAGCTTCATCCCAGGGATGCAGGGGTGGTTCAACATACGCAAATCTATAAATATAATAGAGCACATTAATAGAAACAAAGAGAAAACAACTTGATCATCTCAATAGATGCAGAAAAGCTTTTGATAAGACTCAACATCACTTCATGATAGAAGCATTAAGAAAACTAAGAATAGAAGGAATATACCTCAATATTGTAAAGGCTATATATGACAAACTTATAGCCAATATCATACTTAATGGAGAAAAACTGAAATCATTTCCCCTAAAATCAGGCACAAGACAAGGGTGCCCACTCTTCCCACTCCTGTTCAACATAATCCTGAATTCCTAGCCAGAGCAATAGGCAAGAAGAAGAAATAAAATGAATACAAATAGGTAAAGAAACTGTCAAAGTATCCTTATTTGAACACAACATGATCCTATACCTCAAAGACCCAAAAACTCTACCCCAAAACTCCTAGACACCATAAACAGCTTCAGCAATGTAGCAGGATACAAAATCAATTTACAAAAATCAGTAGCCTTTCTATATACCAACAATGAACAAATTGAGAAAAGAATATATGAAAACAATTCCATTTACAATAGCCTCAAAAAAAAAATCAAATACCTACGAGCAAATTTAACAGCAGATATAAATGACCTCCACAAGGAGAACTGCAAACCTCTGAAGAAAGAGATTGAGGAAGATTATAGAAGGATCTTCCACGCTCATGGATTGGTAGAATCAATATAGTAATAATGGCTATACTACCAAAAGCAATCTACATGTTCAATGCAATTCCAATCAAAATCCAAATGACATTCATCACAGAGATTGAATAATCTACCCTAAAGTTCATTTGGAAACACAAGACTCTGTGAATAGCAAGGCAATACTGAGCAATAAGAGCAATGCTGGAGGTATCACAATACTGGACTTCAAACTATATTACAGAGCAATAGCAATAAAAACAGCATGGTACCGGCACAAAAACAGATATGAAGATCAGTGGAACAGAATAGAGGACTGGGATATGAATGACAGATAGAGGACACAGCTATGCCCACCTCATTTTTGACAAAGGCGCCAAAAACCTATGATGGAGAAAAGACAGCCTCTTCAACAAATGTTGCTGGGAAACGTGGTTATCTGCCTGCACTAGACTGAAATTGCATCCATGCCTATCACCCTGTACTAGTATCAACTGAAAGTGCATTAAAGTCCTAATACCAGACACAAAACTCTGAAGTTAGTACAGGAAAGAGCAGGGAATACTTTAGAAGCAATAAGTATAGGCAAAGAATTCCTCTGTAGAACTCCAGCCGTCCAGCAACTAAGAGAAAGGATGGACAAAGGGGACTACATAAAATTAAAAGGCTTCTGCACAACAAAAGGAATGGTCTCTAAACTGAAGAGACCACCCACAAAGTGGGAAAAAATTCACTGGCTATCCATCAGACTGATAACCAAAATATACAGGGAGCTAAATATACTAAACTCCCCCCAAATCAATGAACCAATAAAGAAGTGTGCAACTGAACTAAACAGAATTTTTTCAAAGGTAGAAATCCAAATGGCCAAAAAACACATGAAAAATGCTCACCATCCTTTGCTATAAAGGAAATGCAAATCAAAACCACACTAAGATTCCACCTCTCTCCTGTTAGAATAGCTATCATGAAGAATATAACCACCAACAAATGTTGGTGAGGATGCGGGAGAAAAAGGAACCCTCATACACTGCTGGTGGGAATGTAAACTAATACAACCAATTTGGAAAACAATATGGACGCTTCTTAGAAAACTAAACATAGATCTGTCATATGATCCAGCAATACCACTCCTAGGGAAAGGAATATGACTCAGATTATTCCAAAGGCACCAGCACACCCATGTTTATTGCAGTGTTATTCACAATAGCCAAGCTATGGAAACAGCCAAGACGCCCCACTACCAACAAATGGATTAAGATAATGTGGTATTTATTCACAATGTGATTTTACTCAGCCACAAAGAATGAAATTTTGCAAGTAAATGGATGGAACTGGAGACCATCATCTTAAGCAAAGTTAGCCAGGCTCAGAAGTCCAAAAATTGTATGTTCTCCTTCATATGCAGATTATAGACCCAAAACAAATGCAGTAATATTATTGGACATAGATCACATGCTAAGTGGAGAATGCATACAGGAGGAATAGTGTAAGGGAAGGAAACCTAAAACTTGAAAGTGATGTGCCCACTGTAGATGAGCTAATAAAGTAATCTTAAACTGACAGAGGCAACTATGGGAAGGTGACTGGGAAGTAGTGAAGAGGTCTGGTGGAAATGAACCAATTCAAGTTGTAATACACATGTGCACGGAAGCAATGCTAGGAATCTCTCTGAATAGCTATCTTTATTTATCTCAAGCAAGCAAAAATATTATGTCTTTCTTATTATCTCTTATGTTTTTTCTTCAACAAAATTGGAGAAGAGGGCAGAACAGGTTCTGCCTGGAAGCACAGGGGTAGGAGAGGAAGGGGAGAAGGGTGGAGGACAGGGGGGAGAGATGGTCCAAACAATGTATACACATATGAATAAATAAATAAATGATAAAAAATGTTGCTTGGAAAATGTAAGAGGAGCTAGTGTTTTCCTGAAGAATTTTATTTTAAAGTTTTATTGTTTTATTGAGTCTTAAATTGAGAAATTAAAGATTAGTGAATTAAGCTATTTGTTCCATTTTATCTCAAAATTATAGGCTTGAATCATGTTTCTTGTTTTCATTTTTTATCTGAATGACAACAAAATATAAGAAAATTAGAAAATATTTCTTAGCTGGATTCTGGTGGCTCATGCCACCAATCCTAGCTAGTTGGGAGCCTGAGATTAGAAGAATCACAGTTTGAAGCCAGCCTGGACAAATAGTTCATGAGACCCCATCTCAAAAATAACGAGAGCAAAATGGACTGGAGATGTGGCCCAAGTGTAGAGCACCTGTTTTACAAGTGCAAAGCCCTGAGTACAAACCCCAGTCCAACCAAAAAAATAAGTAAATCAAAGATTTCCCTATTGTGTGATCCCTTTATCCACAATTTCTCTCACACACACCCATACACACATGCATTCTCACACACAGTCTTGGTTTAATGTCTCTCATGAGAGTTCTTTTCCTGCTTCAGTAATAAATATAGAAAATTAAAGCATTTCTTTAAAGAAAAATGAAGAAATAAGATATTCACAACAAACTGTTTACTTTATCAAGCTATTAAAATCTTGTGCACAGCCATGCCCTTAAATGAAACAAGGAATTTTTTCATGAGTGGATCTGATAGGCCACACTTTTCCTTTCCTTTAAAACTGTGCTATCAATGTATTTACTTAAGTATCAGTAAACTAATTATTATACTTGAAATAGTGATGCTTTGGTTATCCAGAAAAGAAGAACATATAGCTTCATTTATTTCAATCTCAGTAAAGATTCCAGAAAGGGCTGGCAACACTTGAAATAGCTACGGCAAAGTTCTTACAAATCACTCTGAACCCTTTGATCAGTATCTTAAATTTATCTTTATCTTAAGTATCTAAAAGAAATACTGTGATGAAGGGGATGTTCTATGAATTTATGATATCTAATATGGTACCCACTAGACACATGAGGTTATTGAGCACTTAAAATGCAGTTCAATTTTTATTTTACTTTACTTAAATTTAATATCTGTTCAGTGTTTGTAAAATAGAGCAATCAGCCATAGCCCCTATGGTGTCTGATGGCATCACAAATGTGGGAAGGTTGCAATAAGTGGTGGCTTTTACCAGTAATTTCCAAAGTTATGAGATCAGAATTGCGTGTAATGCTCTGGACACCACTACCTTAGGCTCAAGAAATCCATCAAAGTTTCCCCAAACTCAATATCATGTGTAAAGATAATTTTTCTTACCTGCCATCACGCCATAGGTTGATGGCTGGTTTCCATAATGACAGGAAGGAACAGAATAATGAAGTCCTGCTGCTGTGTTTCCCGATGTCATCCCCGAGAAATATGTGTGCAAACATTTAGCAGTTTGGATCAAAGACAAAATAGACGGGACTGGTAAGAAAATGTATGAGTATTCAAGATACATTCAATTCACTTCAAAGATACATGTATATGCGATTCATAAATTTATATACCAATTTTTTTCTCATTAAGAGGCAGATTTTTAATGAGAAGATAACACTATAGATAAAAGTCTGTCTCAAGTAATGAAATCATAAGTCATCAAAGAAGACTGTAACCTTCATTAATCGTCTCTGCTATGACTATGAGTGCCCACAAAGGTGACTGAGCAGTTTGGATCTTGGCTCTTTGGAAGTTGCAAAATTCTTGTAGGTTCCATCCAAGATAGATATTGCAACAATCTGACTAGACAATAGTCTCTTAATTCTTATATATCATGGTACCATTAAGATTTTCTTCTGAAAGAATGAATATCAAACTTGACTCTTAAATAGTCTGTTGTTTTGATTATTTTCCTAACAAATTTCTTTCATTGAAGAGGAAATGACAGAACATCTATTCTCTTGTTGGATACATTCACAACAATCCCACTGCATTTAGGATGTTATGAAAAACCTAACAATGTCTGATGTATTTATGTTAATGCTGAAACCATGAAATAGGTTTTCTGCATGCACAGGATTGATTCAACAATTCTAATGATAAAGTTGATTTTAAAAAAAAGGTCATTTATTATTGAGCAACAATACACATAAAGCAATGATATACATAGCCTAATCTTATTCATAGTTACATGCTTCATGGAACCAATGTGTATTCTGAAAAGAAATTGAGTTAATAAACTTCTATCAAGTTTTAAATCACTAAGTTGAATAATCACAGAGACTACTGACTACCTGTCAATGTTTACATATATATATATATATATATATATATAATTTTCTCATTTCTCCTCATATCCTGAGTATAGTGATGGATTTTCATAAACATACCTTCGTGAATAAATGAAATATTATATAACATTCAATCAAGATCCCTTGAGAATATTGGGATATAATTTAGTAAGTAAAGACATGAGGTTTCTTTGAAAAGCAAAATGTATTTTTTTCTAAATGTAGAGAAGTCTTTATTTTTTAAATATTTGCATAAATTTCCATTTTATAACTGATGTGGAAAGAGCATTTTGCAATATAATGGTTACATATAAAAATCTCACCAAACATTCAAAAATTAAACAAATGAACATTAAGCACATTTAATACCCAGGTATTTTCATTAAAACTGGTATTTCTAATTCATTACTTAGATATTAGGTATACATAAATAAAATTTCATAGAAAACTTACAAATCAATTTAAAATGCTTAAGGTTATTTTACTGATTATGAAACTTTTTACTTCCATGGTTTAAATAATTTTGTTTGTTCCAATTTTAGGAAATTGGACAAATGATAGGGTAAGTTGATAAATGCTTTATTATTTATTTTTTAAATAAATGAATAGAGTTTTGAGCTTACAACTAAATTACTTTGCCTAATCATTACTTCAATTCTAAATATCATTATCATGCTGGCTAAATTTTCTTTTTTATATATTAGATTAAAGAAACAACACATCATTTTCATTATTTCCATTCTAGAAAACAATTATTATTTAAAATGGATGACTATGCTGCAATTGTTTATATTCAATGATAGCATTTTATTTGTATTAAAGCACTTTATTACATATTTTCCAAAAACTATTTTTAAGAATATGTTCAATATTACTTTTTTAACTAAATTATAGGAATCTTTTGTACATTAAAAAAAAAACTGTACACTTAATGATTTGCCAATCTCCAAATGTCTAATCTCTACATTCAGCTGAAGATTGATGTCAAATTTGCATATATGTTTGGAAACTAATTATAATGAAGGATAAAGCTTAAATCTTTAAAATCTTAATATAAATGCATTATCTCAAAATTTGATTTCCAAATGTATAACATTTTATTTCATTTATAAATTTGAGGCTGACTGCATTTAAAACTGTGCAGAGTGAGCACTATACTACTTTTTAATAGAAGAAAGTTAGTCAAATCTGGGCTTTGCCCATTTATAAATCAACTTTGAAGCACTTTGTTATTGAATAAAGAGTGATATATTAGCAAAACATACATATTTTGTTGTGTCGTGATGACAGATTTTAATTCCCAAGTTCAATTTTTTATTTCAAAATGTTAGGTGAAACAAATTTAAAAACTTTTTGTAGGTTAGTGGTTTCAGGACCTAATTGTGATAAAATTTAACTAAGTTTATATGTTGAGTTAAATATTCTGTTACTTATAGCTTTGATCTCTAAGTTTAATATTATGCTAAAATATAAGTTTATTAAAGCATTTATTTTATTCATTAAAACAAACTGTTGATGTTATGAATTTTTCCATTGTATTTACTAAAAGGTTAAGGGCTGGTTTTTAGACTGTAGCAAATATAGCCAAAAACCAAATAAATCTTTAATAATTAGAAGTAATACCTATTAAACATTAAATTATTTTAGAATATTTATTTCTTTTGCTCTTTATCCATAAGCATTTCTATTAAATAGTCTTCAGATTAACAGTACGTGCTTATGTAGAAAATAGATGTTTATTATAATAAACCCACTAATCATATAAATGATTTCCCTTGCTAACATTACTTTGAAAGAGTCTTATGCAATTTGGCTGTTTAAATATCCTTAATATTTAATTAAAACAAATTAGGTTGAAGGGGAAAAATAAAACAAGCAAAGATATTGTTAGGTAACAAGATTCAATGCATCCATTCTGAAATTCTAGGCCCAGCAATACGGAAACTCTCCTGAGTCAGTACCTGTAGACATCACATTGGTGGCATGGTTGGAGACTGGTAGACACTCGGCAGCACTGTGATGCATTATCAGAGGCAGGGTTGCAGAAGCGTCAGAATTCAGAGGAATAAAGGTGTCAGCCGAAGTAAAAGATTGGCAACTCATTCCCACAAGAGAGTAGAAAAATAAGAACTGCTGTTCTTCAAATCAGTTTTATTATATTACTGTGTCAAAGGACTGATTGAGTTCTCCTACCTGCATATATACATCAGGAAGGCTCTGAGGCACCAGGAGGCGTGAGCTCGTATTTATACTGCCAGGAAATCCCTTTATGAATGTTAATAGTCTTTTCCCAGGAGTATTGCTTTATCAATCTGAACTGTCTTCCTTACTTACCCAAACAGACTCACATCCAAGTAGGAAGCTGGTTGTGGGTATAGACTGAGGGGAAGGGAGAAATCTGAAACTTTATTCATCTTCTCTAATTCAGGCCTTTTAGAGAGGAAGCAAGAACGTTGAAAACGTCTTTCGTCTTTCAAAGAAATAATGCTGTGATGAATTGAAAAACATTAGGTGTTTTTTGGTTACTAATGTAATTACAAATTTATAAGTATAATATTTTTGATAAATTATTAAATATGCAAAACAACATGAAATAAAAGAAATGCCTACTACATACTTTAAAGAAATGATCAAAGTTGATATTGAGACTGAATATGAAAATGAATATTGCCAATTACTAAACTCAACAGTGCACATTTTTGAAAAAATATGATGATTGATTTAATTTTTACTATATTATAAATGGAAAATGGAAAAACATTGAATAAAATATAGTAAAATGTAAAGTTAAACATGAGTGATTTTCTTTCCCTTGATTTCAATTTATTCGTCAAGCACTATCTTACAGTAAGCTAGATTCTGACAATATTCAATAGCACTTTCTGTGGTTTTGTTATGCAAATCTTACAACACCTCTTAGTAAAGTACCATGTCATTGTCACTATCTAGACTGTACCAGAGGCTGGAATCTTGGCCATTTCACTGCAGAGTTTATGGTAAGTATGGTAGCATTGATACAGACTTTTCATACTCAATATATTGATGTAACATGAGAATGAAAAAAAACACCACAATTGACTCAACGTAAATGCCAGCACCAAGATTTTTTAATGACCATGATTTCCATACATAAATGAGTGTGTTCATTATTTTTTTTTATTGCTTTGACAAATACCCAAATTTAAAGAAGGAAGAATTTATTTTGACTCATGGTTTCAGAGTCCATGGTCAGCTGGCTCTATTGCTTTGGGCCTGAAGTGAGGCAGAACATCTTGGAAGTGAGAAGCTGCTCACTTCATGGTGGCCAGGAAGCAAAGAGAAACAAACATGGAGGACCGAGGACAAGATGCACTTCAAAGGCATACCCATAGTCATCCTCCTTCAACCAGGACCTACCTCCTGAAGTTTTCACAACATCCTAAAATAGCACCACCAGGTGAGGACCCATCCTGCAGCATATGAGCCTTTGGGAGCACTTTGTATTCAAAACATAAGATTGTCTAAATCATTACATATTGCCTAAAAGATACATACTAAAAATGACATTTTTCCACATTAAATTGGAAGCCTTATTAAGTCTTTTTGAATGAGAGAATGTTTAAGTAATAAAAGTATTTATTAGCATTCTGGTAATTTTCAGACATTGAATACATAAAAAGGAGTTTTTTCAGTATGCTTATAAAGAGATTATGCTAAGAAAATCAAATAATTATTTTATTAGGAGTGACTTATTTAAAAGATTAAGCTAAATGATATTTACAGTGAGAAAAATTGAAAATTGCCCTTCACAATTTTTACTATTGTTGTATTGAGTCTTTGGAATGTGTTTGTAAGTGTATCAGCTGAAAGATAGTGAAGGGCTACCATAAAATCTGTCTAGCAAATGTAACAGATGTTCTTACTAATTTGCAACATATTTAAAATTAAAAAACTGAAATCTTAGAATTTATTTGACAAAATAGTTCGATTAAAATAACTACCCTGTGAAGTATAAACCTAAGCAATACAGTTTAAATGTAATAAAACTAGGAAATAAGTGTTTTTATTATAGTCTTATCACTTAATACTGTAAACTCTTTATTTACCAGTTTTATTATCAGTTAATTTGTAAATAATTTTAAGAATTGCACAGTTTTCAATTTTGTAGAGCTATTAAAATTTAACCATTTCTTTATTGTTTGGTGTTTGCACTGCTTTCTGGCTTTCACTTTAATAAAGAATAATACAATTAACATTTTGGGCTCCGATGTTTTTGTGGGAGTACTGGGGTTAAACTCAGGGTCTCATGCCTCAGTTCTACTACTGACAAGTAGAAGAACTCAGGTGTTCTACTACTTGAGCCATTCCAGCAGCCCCCTCCCACTTTTTCTTTTTTGAGACAGGTCTCTCTTTGTACCCAGGCTTGCCTGAGCCATGATCCTCCTATTCCTGCCTCTCTGTGTAGCTGGGATGACAGGCACATACTCCCACATCTAGTCATTAGTTAAGATGGCCACTTGCTAAATTTTTTCCATGGCTGGCCTCAAATTGTATTCCTTCTGATCTCCACCTCCAGAGTAGCTAGGATTACAGGCATTAGTTACCAAGTCTGGCCTAAAATATTTTTTACAAAATGCATTTTATAATGAACTCATAGGGTTGTTTTCAATGTCCTTTCTTAAACTGGATTCTAAGAACTGGGCTTACCAAATTTAGTCTTAGGAACTTTTTAACATCTTGAAAAATAACCATTTTCTTCAAATAATTTGTAGTATTATAATTTTGCTTTTAAATATCATGTAAAAGTTGGACAAAAATATTTGTTTATCATCAGGAGACAGGGATTTACTGAAACTCACACACTCAAAATGGAAGTCAGGTCATAGGGAAAGACAGCAGGAAATGGGAAGCTGTTTGGCAAAGCATCTGCCTTTCCTATCTACTATTTTCTGTCTCACTTTTCCCCTCCCTCTATAGAACAGCCTCAGCTGATTCTCTACCCATGGCTACTTCACAAATCTCTAGATCACACCATATACTTTCAAGTTGGAATAGAGACTAGCTTGTAGCTTCTCAGACTACATTTATGAGAGAAATATTGTTACTGGCCATGGCTATTGGTGTGTTCAGAAGTACAGTCATGACTCCTGGTGGCCCACACCTGTGAATTGATGGGTTACCCTGGAGGAGTGGAGGCATTTCCAAGTAATGATGACACTCTCAAAATGTGATTGATGCTACTATATCATCTACACTAGCACCACTAGTGTAAACTTGAGAATTTTCTTACATTTTTCAATGTCTAAGATAATGTCTTAATACTTACAATTGATTCATCTGATAAGATCATAATATTTTAGTCAGTCTGCTTTAATTGATTACTAATATGCTATTTTTTCAAATTGATATTAGCAATTTGTGTTTATCATTTCATTAATTGTTTCTGAATATTTTCAAATATACTAAGTATGTTAATTTTCATCTTTTTTTTCTTTATAACACTGAGATTTTGAATTCAGTGCTTGGAGCAAGCACTCTATCACTTGATCTGTGTTTCCAGTTCTTTTTACTTTTAGTTATTTTTCAGATACGATCTTGCTCTTTTGTCTGGGGTCAGCCTCAGACAGCAATCTTCCTACCAATACTTCCCATATAGTTGGGATCACATTTTGAAAAGAAAAATATAAGCCCAGAAAAAATGCTGTTAAGAAATAGCATGCAAATGCACATCTATTGACCTATATACAAGCTTTTTTCATATTTATATTTCCTAATTTTTCTTTTTTTTCTGTAAGGGGTTTCTTGCTATGTGACCCAAGCTGTCCTTGAACTTATAATCTTTCTGCCTTTCCTAAGTAGCTAGGTTTACAGAAGCGTGCCATTGCATCTGGCTTAGTTTTTCAACATTTTTGCCTGAGTTCTGAGCACTATGGTATGCTTAGCATATAGATAGTGTCTAGGACCACAATGTCTGGGTTGAAAACCAAGCATTAAACCTCAATAGGTATGTAATGATGGACAAGTAATATTACCTTTCAGTGTTTTAAGGTATCTTATCTGTCAAACAGAGATAACTAAGACAGTTTACTTAGAATAATCCCTGGAATATAACCAATTTTTAATAAATGTCAGCAATTACTAATGTGTAAAACTTCATAATATTAATTGTTTATGCTCTGGTCTGTGTTCTTTATATGCATTATCTCAGTTTTTTCCTCACGTTAGCCTGAGAGGTGGACACCATTTTACTGACTGGGAAAATGAGGCACAGATGGATTAAATTCTTACCAAAGGTAATTCAGTAAGTGGTAGAACTGGTGTAGAAGTCCGAGTCATTTAAAACATGAGAAAGCTGCATTCTATGGCCTTTTATTATATATAGCAAAGCTAAACTGATATTGATTCCTATCTAAATCTAGTTAGTGTCCCTCTATGTAAATTTTTTGTTTGTTGCATAGTTTTGAAGAGAAAATACAGAGAGTTAATTCTGTAAAAGATGTCGTGTCCTTGTATCTTTCAGCACCTGTCCCTGTATATAATCCTCTCTGGGTCCCAGCTTTATTACATGAGTGGTATGGCATTATTTCTTGTGGAGCAAGGGACAGTCATTAAAGAATAATTCAGTCCTCTTCAATAATACGTTCTAGAGATATAATTATTCTTTTGTTTTCTACCAAGTTGCAATTCAAGTCACTTTGAACTAATTACAAGTCGTGGACATTTTAGATATAAAAAATTGATGAAGAGGAAGGAATTAAGATGGAGGACTCCCATTTGGATAAGAAAGTGAATACGAATCTAAATTAATTTATTCCGTTAGCTTAAGTGGCAATAAAATGTAGTATTCCCACAACTCATAACTTTTGAAAAGATGATGAATTTTTCTCAAAGCAGTTTTTTAAGGAAAAGATTATACAGCCATATGGCTTAAAAGGGACTTTATCACAGTAGAGGCACACATTATTTGAAACATGTATCAGTCATGCATGCCATGTTTGGCTGTTTCTTGATTATGAAGGCAGCAGTGAATATATTCATTAGGTGGTTCATTCTTGCTTAAATTCTTTCGGATCCAGAAATTAAGGTTCTTTATTGCCCAAGGAAGAGATACTATCAAAGGCTTGCAGCCTTTTGAAGATGGATACTCTCATAATACTGTCTAAAGGGTAAGCTTGTAACTTACGAAAAATAAACGTCAAGGTGAGACACTGACTTAGGAATAATGTTTGCCCAGAAGGGC